GAGGGCCCGCGCGGAAGAAGAGGCACATTGTCGTACTTGTGGCACCAAGTCAACGAGTTGTGCACGGTAGGAAAGGGCGCGGCTAGAGGAAGAGAGGCGGCGAAGAGAGGTGCATGGCATGCGATTGTTGAGCTCTCTCCGAACTATTCGTGGCTGACATCATTTTCCCTCGCTCCGCAGGAAGAGGAGGCGCTCGAGAAAGCTCGTGCAGAGGAAGAGGCCATCACGAGTAAATTGCTGCTCTGGTTGCAACAGGAAATCGTCGCTGATTTGTTTGCCCGGAACGCGATTCCCACGCAGGAGAGCGCGCGCATGCAGGAAGAAATGCAACGTCAGGAGGTGTGTCTGCAGATGGTTGTTGCAAAGAGTAGTTAGGGATCTGGAAAACATGGTGTTCTATGGTTTTGTGTCGACTGCAGGAGGAGGAAGCTTTGGAGAAGGCCCGGGCAGAGGAGGTGGCTCGGTGGTGCCTGCTGAAAGCAACTTCTGGGGTGTTACCTGGCTTGATCTGCATGGTGCCGGATGGTGCAAAGATGCAGGCAGCGGAGGAGAAGCGCAAGCAGGTGGGCAGCCTGAGCCACGATGTGTCCAAGCGTCCGTTCATTCTCCAGATGGTCGCAGGAAGAGGAGGCTCTCGCAACAGCCCGTGCAGAACAAGAGGCACGAAGCGCAGCCGTCCAGCAACGTGAGGAAAACGATGTCTCCTTTGTTCTTGGTTATGATACACGGACCAGGAAGTCAAGAAGTAGAACTGCATAGAAGCTCTACAGGCAGTCTGCCTCAACAGCGCGAAAGCACGAACTTAACGTGCATGACGCACGCGCTGCTGAACCTTCCTATACGAGCAACCCTGCGCGGGTTTGAGCACCGTTCTGGAGAGTTGATTCCGCGCTTGTCCGTAAGCAGCTTCCAGGACCTCCAAGAGCCTGCAGTTTGTCTGTGAGGTACCAGAATTAAATTCCATCAAGGGGTTTCCAAGTCCTGAGATTTTGGAGGGTCACCAAACTGCCTCGAAGACCTCAGAGCTCCCCCAGCTTCCCACAGTCACGGAGAGTGCTCCCGCTTTTCGAAGGAGAGTGCGCGGATGGAGCAGGAGCGGCAAAGAGAGGAGGTGCCACCGACAGCAGACGAGAGATATAAAATTTACGGACTGAGTCATGAATTTGGGTGGCAGCGGTGCTCATCTGCTGCCGAGGAGGAAGCTTTGGAGAAGGCTCGTGTGAAGGAGGCTGGTATTCACGGGCTCGGAGATCCTTTCGCATCACAATGCCGACAGGCAGAGATGCGCAGAGCGAAGGAGGCGGAGGCGGTGGCGGTGGGGTTGAGGGGGAAGCATAGGATGATATGGGATGAGTGTGCTGTGAGGAGCGGGCGGAGAGGGCGAAGGAAGAGGCCCCCGGCCCGCGTGGACGTTCTTCCTCAGTGTCGCAGTGCCGGGCCTAAGCCACCGCCGGTGGACAGGAAAGGCGCATCGAGGAGAAGCGACGAGAGGCGGCCGAGGCCCGCGACGGCACAGCGACAGCACAGCGTCTTTCTGGAAGGAAAAGGCTCGACTCGAGGAGGCCGAGAGCCGAGCCGAGTCCGTCTTACAATCGCGGCCTCTGGTTGCGGCCGAGAAATGCTGTGAGTCCCACCCTCACCCCCTCGCTCACTCCCTCACTCTCTCACTCATTCTCTCTCTCTCTCTCTCTGCCCTGAAATTCTCCATGTGATGTGGGGCGAGGTGAGGTGAGGCACACAGGTGCAGTGAGGTGCGGCGTGTGAGCGAGATGAACAAGTCAAGTGGTGAGGGGCCACCAGAGCCATCAACACACGCTGCTGGGGTGAGTTGGCCATGCGACCGGTCCCTGACAACATTTCAGGGAAGAGCTCAGCAATGATGTAGTGACAAGGAAGGCCGTCTTTCAGCTTCTTCTAAGCAGCTTGAAGGAGTTGGGTGCAAGCAGCGAGACCAGTCTTCCTGCCCAACGAACGGGGGCTTGTAGCACTGTAGAAGATGAAAAACGGAGAGAGAGAGAGAGCGGGAGAGAGAAGCATTGAACACCGGAGGCAGGGACGCATTTAGATCAAGAGGGGAGAGAGTGTGTCGGCAGTCATGCCAACTGGAAAGAGATGGACATAGCAAGAACACAAGCGCCTCGGATGCGTCTGCGTGCTCTGATGGCCAGTTGTTTAGAAGCTACATCTTTTCCATAAGAAGGCGACGTTGTCATGTTCATGGCAGTCGAGTCCCTGGTGAAAATGTTCATGTCCACGTGACGTCAGACCGGTGGAAGAAAGAAAGTTGTAGGCATCTAAGCATGTGCTGAGCATGCCACCTGCTGGGTGTGTCAATCCACTGCCAGGCACGGCCCGCAACTCCACCCATGCAGATGGCTTCGACACTGAAGGTCTGCGTGGCTGAAGTCGCATACCTTGGCTCGATCCCGCGGGACAACGCTCGCGCATCGCCTTAGATGTTTATCATTCAGCGGGGCGTGCCCATTCTGACAAGTGACATGGCTCCTGCCGTGTTGGTTGGGTCCCACAGCTTTGAAAATCTAGAGAGAAATACAGGTGCACTCGCCGGGTGGTGCTTGCACGCGTACAGGCACGAATGTGCGTCAAGTGTGCGCATGGGTACACTTACGCACACTCGGACCCGGAAACGCGATGCACATGCGGAGGGCACGGGGGTTCGTCTGTGTCGTTTCCTTTTACGTTCGCTGTGTCTTTGTTGGCGTGGTGTCGTGCGTGTCTTTTTTTGTTTGTTTGTTTGTTTTTGTTTGCAGTTCTCGTTGCGTGTTCCGTCTGTCTTTATTCTCGGCTCTTCCTTACCGTTGGTGAATGTTTGTCTGTGAGCAGGAAGTCGTCCGTAAGATGAAAGCGAAGATGGAGCCTTAAAGCGAGGAAGGCAAAGGAAACCCTAAAGTTTTGCCGAATTTGACACTTTGAAGCGAGGAAGGCACAGATCATCCCAAAGTTGTCCGGAAGATGAAACTGCAGATGAAACACTCAAGTTGCAAAGAAGCCGCACCGCTACGTGGGCTGGCCCAACTGGTGACACGCGCAAGCAAGAGCCCGCACACATGCATGTATACAGACGCAACGTGCGCACATTCACTGATTCATGCATTCAAGTCCAGCATGAGCTCACAGACATGTCGGAATGGGGCAAACGGTTTCTTCCTTTCGGAAAGGCGCGGGCTCCCTTTTGCTGGACGAGATGTCCAGAAATCCTGTGGTACGGGTTGAACGACCATGAGACACCCTGACCGTGACTGTACGTTCGTTCACGATTCAGCCGGCAGACTCCGTGATTCCCAGGAGTCCTGTGCTTCTCTTCGCCTAGCATCGGTCATGGTGGGATTGCCATCGTCACCTATACTAAAACTGTCAGTAGTGCTCGCTTTGCCCGTTGGGCCCCCGGTCAGTGCGTTGTCTTGCGCAGTCCTTGGTGCCATTGGTGTCCCGGCCAGTGGAGTTGGAGGCCGGAGTCTCGAAGTTTGTGCCATGCAGCTTCGAGATGAAGAGACCGTTGTTTCAGACCCGTCGCAGCCACAACTTCTGCTACTGCCAGCTGCTACGACTACTAAACTACCACTGCCTCTCCCGCTGCCACTGCCCACTGCCCACTGCCACGGCCAATGCCACAGCCACTGCCGGTACCCCCGCGTCCACTGCCACCACCACTGCCGGTACCCCCGCGTCCACTGCCACCACCACCGCCACCGTTGTCGCCCAACAACCGCCACCACCTCCACTACGAGCCGCACCAGCAGCAGCAGCACCAGCACCAACA